CCAATGAAAGTGCAGGACATTTTTGAAACGATCGGTTATGATCCTGTGGAGATGTTAATGCTTATATCGGCATGATCTAACCGATTACAAATAGTTTACTTTTCGATTAAACGATTATTCGAATGAAAATCGGCCATCACTAAATGAATGTGAAACGTCATTTCAAATATAAGGACCGTACATAAATAATGATACAATTTGAAAGGGACCGGGGCTAATTACAAATAACGTCCCCACGGTAACTGAAATAAATACGAGTGTTCACCAGTTGCTTCAACCCTTCACAACTCGATTTTGAATGGATTTTCGACACATACAGATATCGAGTTATAGAACAGACAAAAACAGAAACACATGGCTATAACGTTTATCATAACGGACATTCAGCTTGTTGGCCATTTGTCAGAATGGACGTTTGGCGTTAAGCAATGGAAAATTTTAAGAATGAAGGAAATGTTCCCGTCTTTTATTAAAACCTACATAGAAAAATATATTCAAAGAAGGAATTATTGCCTCCTTTATCAAAGTATCATGAGTAATTCGGAGTAACTGTCACCGATTTCACATGTATGCAATTCTCAGAGGGTAAAATGAATAAAAGTTCAAAAGTTTTTGTTTTAAAGTGTGTAGAAATGTCTGCTTTTTCGGCAAAAAACACTATAATAATGTTTTAAAAAAATATCAGCTTATATTGATAGTAGAATTAGAAATTTCATTCGTAATCGATTTCAAACAGTCATGGACTCGAAAATGGAAGATGTTTATCGTATGTTATCTTTTAGAAGCTGATATTTCTTCGAGTGAATGAATCATTCATGGCGTTAGGGGTAGTGGCTTTCGGGGAAACGACATTCGGGGTAATGCAGCACAATCGTGTTTGGCACCTTCGATCGCTTCTAAATAGTCGCAAAACACGTACTCATTAACGTATTGCGTGCTCTCACTCAACTTAGTGTTCTAGATGCACTTCCACAGTTATCAATTGAGAGCTTCCTGTACCATTTTTGCAGCAGTATAATTATGTGGCAAGTACAATCATACTCTACCCAGGGAAGTCCAACCCGAAAAATTCCTAGACGGGACCAGGAATCGAACCCATCCACCTCCAGCATGGTCTTGCTTGATAACTGTGCCTTTACCGACTGAACATATGAAGGTCCTTAACTCATCGGAACATACATACATACATTTATTTGTACAACATCACATTTAAGATAAGACATAATCAACAATAGTACGCAACAATACTCGGTTTGCGGCTGCCGCTCTTCATCCTCGGTCATGCCCAATGCTCGTTAGATCACGCTCTACCTGTTCAGCCCATCGTGCTCTCTGCGCTCCACGCCTTCTTGTGCCAACCGGATCAGTAACGAACACCAGCTTTGCAGGGTTGTTGTCCGGCATTCTTGCAACATGCCTTGCCCACCGCATCCTTCCGGCTTTGCCCACCTTCTGGATGCTAGGTTCGCCGTAGAGTGCAGCGAGCTCGTGGTTCATTCTTCGCCGCCACTCACCGTTCTCCTGCACACCGCCGAAGATCGTCTTTAGCACACGTCGCTCGAAAACTCCGAGTGCTTGCAGGTCCTCCTCGAGCATAGTTCATGTCTCGTGTCCATAGAGGACCACCACCGGTCTTATTAGCGTTCTGTACATGGTACATTTGGTGCGGGGGTGAATCTTTTTTGACCGTAGTTTCTTCTGGAGCCCGTAGTAGGTACGACTTCCACTGATGATGCGCCTTCGTATTTCACGACTCACATTGTTGTCAGTCGTCAGTAAGGATCCAAGGTTAACAAATTCCTCCACTACCTCGAAAGTATCCTCGTCTATCGTGACATTACTTCCTAGACGAATCCTGTCATGTTCGGTTCCACCTACTAGCATGTACTTTGTTTTTGACGCACTAACCACCACTCCGACCTTTGCTGCTTCGTGTTTCAGGCGGGTGTATAGTTCTGCCACCGTTCCAAATGTTCTTGCGATAATGTCCATGTTGTCCGCAAAGCACACAAATTGACCGGATTTCGTGAAAATCGTACCCCGGCTGTTGAGCCCGGCTCGTCGCATTACACCTTCTAGGGCGATGTTGTCGCAGTCCCCGGCGAGATTCGAATGAACTGGATAGTTCACCCGAAACCCTTACGCAGTTTTGCACACCGTCCATCGTTGCTTTGATCAGTCTGATCAGCTTCCCAGGAAAGCCGTTCTCGTCCATGATTTTCCATAGCTCTGTGCGGTCGATACTGTCGTATGCCGCCTTAAAGTCGATGAACAAATGATGCGTTGGGACCTGGTATTCACGGCATCTTTGGAGGATTTGCCGTACGGTGAAGATCTGGTCCGTTGTCGATCGGTCATCGATGAAGCCGGCTTGATAGCTTCCCACGAACTCGGTCATTTTAGGTGATAGACGACGGAAGATGATCTGAGATAGCACTTTGGGGGGAGTTTTCGCATTCCGAATGGTCGCCTTTCTTGTGGATGGGCAGATTACCCCCTCCTTCCACTCCTCCGGTAGCTGTTCTTTTTCCCAGATCCTGATCCAGATCATCCGGTGCCGGCAGGTGGCCAACCTTTCTGGGCCCATCTTGATGAGTTCGGCTGCGATATCATCCTTACCAGCTGCTTTGTTGTGTTTGAGCTGCTGAATGGCATCCTTAACTTCCCTCAGCGTGGAAGTTGGGTCAGTTTCGTCCTCTGCTGCACTGAAGTAGTCGTTTCCTCCATTGCGCTGCGTTCTTCTCCATTCCGTCAACTTCTTTCCACGTACCCGATGGTGCTCCGGCTGTGTTGGTGATGGCTGCTTTTCTGTACTCCAGCAGTCCTCTAGGGGGGGCACATCGAGCTCGCCCTCCTCTGGCAACGCTGCCTCGAGATTCTTCGCGTATGCTAAGGCGACATCCGGTTGCTTCAGTCGCTCTAAATAGGTTGTACCGTGGCGGGCGTCGGTATCGTACATTGTTCATCACCAGGTAGTGGTCAGAGTCGATGTAAGCGCCACGATAAGTCCGGACGTCGATAATGTCGATTCCGTCTGCTGTGGTGATCTCCAGGTGTAACGATATGAGAGGCTGTGTTGGAAAAAGGTGCTACGTATGGCCATGTTCTTGGAGGCGGCGAAATTGATGAGTCGTAGGCCGTTCCCGTTCGTAAGCTTTGCTGAACTTTCCAATCGTCGGTCTGAATTCCTCCCCCTGGCCTACCTGAGCGTTTAGATCTCCTATGATGACGTCGTGGCTTGGGCAGAAATCGTACTCGCGGTCGAGCTGCGCGTAAAATGCGTCCTTGTGATCATAAGTGCTTCCGGAGTGAGGGCTGGGCACGTTGATTATGCTAAAGTTGAAGAATCGGCCCTTGATCCTCAACCTGCACATTCTTTCGTCGATCGGCCTCCAACCGATCACGCACTTCTGCATTTCGCCCATCAGGATGAAAGCTGTGCCCAGCTCGCGTGTGTTGCCGCAACTCTGGTAGATGGTATGATTACCTCTAAACGTTCGAACCATGAATCTTGTCCAACACACCTCCTGCAGCGCTACGATGCCGAATCCGCGGTCCTTCTGTAGATTGGCGAGTATTCGGATGCTCCCGATGAATTGAGAGATCGACAGTTCCACGTGCTGAGTTTCCAATCGCAAGTCCTATTTCGTCGCTGGGGTCGTTGCCGTTGGTCTCGGTTCGTATTCCTCTGTTGCTGATTTTTCGTTGCAATGCTTTTTTACGGCTGACTCGCAGGGCCTGACACCAATCCCCTAACTTTCCGGAGGACCAGGGTGCACAGTTGTGCTTAGAGTCCTTCACTGGCACTCGGACGTAGACCAGCCGCCCCTAACATGGGGAACAGACGTTGTTGTGAGCCGCTCCTTCTGGAAAACAGACGCTAAGGCTTGCCGAAGCAAATACCCCCTTCCCTGTCAGCCTATGACCAAAGTTCCCACCGGGGTTGGTTACCCGATCTTCCCTAAGATTACTCACAGTTTCCGGCCGGTACCACGGGGAGGTAGGGATAGAAGTTGCTGGGAAGAGTCTAGTGATCTCAATGGGATCTGTATTGCGCATTACCCAGCATTTACCGACCATCTCATCGGAACATGTTCAGGGCGAATCTCCAGAACAAGTTGACCGATTCCAAAAATATTCAATAGCGTTCTATGAGACCATGATTTTTATTTTGGGCATTTTGTCAAAGGTGGTAAATGTACATTTTTAATGCAAAGATGTCACCACCATGTTACCATCTCTGTTTGTTACGTCCAATTTGTTTCAGTAGTTGCCGAGAACCAAACCAAAAAATCACACACACCAACCAACCAATATGTAAAAAGGTTTTAACTCGGTAATTTTCTCAAGCACCTGAGGAAAAAGTCTTTTTTTTTTAATTTCGCGATTTCTTTTTTCAATATTTTTACAAAAATAAAACACACATTTTTTAGTGACGTGGTAAACTTCTCGTTGCTCAAATTACATTCTACTGCAAAACAAAGTACCACGCGACCACGTGCCTGAAATAGATTGCTCCAATCAACTCAGAAATCAATGGAGACGCCCGGTACATACAGTATTAAATTCTGCCCACATTGTCATTGTCGGATAGTTTCTCGCAAGTCATTTTTCGCAAACCGTTCAATTCCCCACCGGTCAATCCGTCCTCTTCTAGACTTCTTCCATTCGCACACTTCGAGGTGGGTGTTTCTGTTTAAAAATATGAAACAAGAGCAACCGCTACCAGCAACAACGACAACGACAACGTTGATAGAGGCAGAGAGTGTTTGTGGAAAGAATGCACGGCGGGTAGTAGCAAGGAGGATCACCTTCACTGGGGAAATGTTTTGTTTCCGTGACGCCCGAAAACTTCACGACGACGACGACGACCGGTTTGTGTTCGGCTCTGGTTGTTCTATGAGAATTTCACCCACCGACGACGACCGTGCCGAGGTGGCTCGGATATGAATTGCGAATTTCGCTTCAGTCGGATTTCATCCGCGAAAATGTACACGCTCTCGATCGTGGATGTGTTCTCTTAATCGCCTGTGAGTCTATCGTTCTAATTAGCAAACTCAATTGCCGCGTTAATAATTTAGAAGAGAAAAAAAACACCTCGAAAAAAAATAAATCAACACTGGTGCGCAGAAAAAGTGAAAGTTTGAGCGAGGTTTCGTATTTGGGGACGATAATCAAACAGGTTATTCAACGACTTAAGTCTAAAGTGTCGCAAAAGTGAAAAATATCTCATACAGTACAAATTAAACTAAGTGATTATAAGCATTTATTCCACGCAAACAAAAGAGAAACATATCTATTCGATAGATTTGCAAATCTGTGTTGCCTTACATAACATTAATCAGTAGTTCAATGATGAAATTCGTTGCCTCCGAAATTGCCAGCATGATGGAGCTGCAGGCCAGAAGGTGAGTGTAAGCCATAAGTTGTGTGGTGCTTAATAGAATACCTACTCACAAGAACGATGAACAGTGTGTGGTGGATGGATTCCATTTCAATTTCAAATTCACCGAAGGTCACATTCTAAAATAATTTAACCTTTTTCGAACCGGAAAATATAAGATTATTTTTCAGTTTTGCATGGCAGATAGACAGAATCTGGAATAAATCATCACGTGCGACAACTAAATTGATTCACAACAATGCATTAGACCTGTGTTCAGCTGTTGAAAGTTCGGTAAAAAATTACCGAAGCCGGCAATAACTTCTAAGTGTGTAGATGAGTGTCTACACACTTAGAAGTTATTGCCGGCTTCGGTAATTTTTTACCGAACTTTCAGCAGCTGAGCGTTCGGTAGAACTTTGAGCTGTTTGACTGTCAGCCTTGTATAAATAATCGAGTTTTGCCATTGTGGTGAAGATTTCCTTGAGTTGAAGCTCTAAAACATGTGAATTTAAATGTCTGATTTTTAACGAACAGTTCAGCTCTTGAAAGTTTGGTAAACATTACCGAAGTCGGTAATCATTTATACGAAAGTATGCATTCAGACAACGTTCCTTGTCCGCTGCCAGTAGACGCATAACTGCCCCATGTTGCATGAAGGTTCCATCGAACTATGTTCCATTATGCGTCCACCAGTAGTACACTTTACTATTAGTGCTACCATTCCATTTCCCGTAAGAAACACTGTCCGTGTAAGAAACCATCCTTACGAATATGTACTTATTTGCCATGCTAGATTTATAAAAAAAATACTGTAATGTAAGTATTGACAGACCACAATCACGATTTATCTACACACACACAAACCACATGTTTAGAATACAAATCAAATTGTGTTCCTGAAGTGATTCAAAATATTTACAAGCTCAATCAAACGCAAAGCGCAAACGTTTCTAGCATCATCATCTGCAGCAGAGATTGAAAAGCGTCTGTTTTTATTTAACGACGGAAATGGACATGAGAGAATGCTTAAAATAAACACAAACCTGAAAAGAATTCGCTGAGTTCGCGAAACACCATCCGGGCTACCCGATATCTCACAGCGGATCAAGCGATCGGAATCATATTTCCCACCAACGAACTTCGAATAACAAAGTGAATTCTGAGTGATCGCGAATACATTCCTCGGTGGCCAGTAATGATTATTGTTACGGTTTCACACAGCGACTAATCTTCTTCCTTTTTTCTCTCCATTTCCCATTTTCAGTGAGCCAAGTATTAGTAGTAGTTACAGTAATCGTGCCAACAAGCGCACGATTTCTTCTTCCTCTTCCTCCTCCTCGTCGTCGGCAGGCTTCGACTCCTACTGTGTTTCGTTGGCTGTAGGACCGCTGTGGTGGTCCTGATGTCCCAACAATCCGCACAGACCACGATAGGGCGTCTCCCTTAAAAGGTAAGATCTCCTTCAAACCGCTCCAGTAGAACTTGGACGTAACACCACCCCTTTCTTGAATTTCCAGAATACAATCGCAAGACATCAATAGATTCGACAACCACCGCTTCGTCTGAGTATACCGATCTTGATTACACCGAGTCGACGGTGGAGTTCATGAACCAACATGAAGCCGCCGTCATCCAGGAAGTGCTGACCCAACCCACGCCAACGCAAATCTCGCTGAAACTGTACGTCACACCGCAAAAGTACAGCGTCTGGGAAACGGTAAGTTTGATAGGGAATTAAGTTTTCTATGAATGATGCCAAATTTTGGCTGCCCTGATACAGAATCTTATACTATGTATAATGCCTAGAGGATATAGGGGCAAATGTTCCACCGTAAGGGTTGTTCGTTCTATGTGTTCCATACCATATATTTATAGGAGTTTATACACCCTACTGCAAAGTTTATGACATTGCCTTGATGTATCATCAATATAATTTAAATTGAATCATATCAAAAGCTGTTTACGGATTTTTCAAAACTTTGTCTTGTTGAAAATGCTACGGGCATGAGTGCCCACCCTAAGGAGCAAAACGGCCATGCATCTGAAATGGAGTGGAACCGATTAAGGCTTTTGTTTTCCTTTATTATAGAGACTTTCAGCCTCAGCCTTAGCGCGAAATTATATTCGGCACAGCTTGGGCACATCCATCGGCACAATCTCGTAGGCATTCACAGTCAAAAATAAAGTTTAATATTACATCCAAGAGGATGCACTTCAATCATGTCGAAAATCTCATGTAATTGTTATGGCCACAAAAATAAACAAATTCAGTAAAAGCAGCGTAATGTCAGTTCATGTACTGTATTAATGATAACTTTGTCCTTTTTGGTAAGGGGGACGACACACCTAAATCTCACTTCTAGATGCTCGAAAAATCTCGCACTAGCGAATGAATCTTCTAACAATCCTCTATCATTTTTCGCATCATAATGCGATGCAAAGCATTATCTTTTTGGAGGAAATCTTCAGAATCGTCATCAATCTACTTTCTATCTACTCAGCGTGCGCACATCTAACCACAGCGAAACAAAATCTTTCCTACATCACAGGTAGAGTCGCCCCCCCTCGCTTTTTGGCAAGTAATATTACACCATATGTTTGACACGATTGAAGCAACCGGTGAACACTCGTGTTTATTTCAGTTACCGTGGGGACGTTATTTGTGATTAGCCCCGGTCCCTTTCAAATTGTATCATTATTTATGAACGGTCCTTATATTTGAAATGACGTTTCACATTCATCTAGTGATGGCCGATTTTCATTCGAATAATCGATTAATCGATTAACGAACCGAAAAGTAAAATATTTGTAATCGGTTATATCATGTCGATATAAGTATTAACTTTTCCAAAGGATCATCACCAATTGTTTCAAACATGTGCTGCACTCTCATTGGTGGAAAAATGACAGCACAGCGAACAAAAAATAATTGATTAGTTGTTAATCGAGTAATTAAAAAATGGGACATCTCTGATTTTGGTGTGATTGTTTTGATCAAAATGAGCGCAAAATTTCATCTCTACCGAGGGGGAAGCAAAACCACAAAATTACCTTGAATACGGGGGGTATTCATTGGATGAAAGGGACCGTGAAAGAGGACACTAAAACAGAAAGTTTTTCTTCCGACAGTTTCATCTTAGTATTCATTTTTGATTGAAGTGCCACTTTGATGTGATATCAAAATTAATTTTTTGCCTTGTTGGATTGTTGTAAATAAATTGGGAGCACTGCTCGACAACTGTTATTAAATTGTTCACAACATTACGTGCTGTTTGGCTATATATTCAGGAACATCCTTTTTTTTTAATATACCAGAGGAACTCAGACCAGCAGTTCACTTCTCGGTTCACTTATAAATTTAAATCCGAAATGTAGGTTCTAGAGTGGGCTCAACAGAAAGAGGCAGTCCATCAGACCCCATTAGTACCCTTAATTCAGCTTGCTCTATGATCGGCTCAATCGGCACCCTGACAAAAAAGATGACCCAAGATTGGTGGTCGAAGTGACCTACCCCTTGTCTTAGTTTCCCTTTCGATAAAAACTTGTTTATCATAAATAAAATGATATTCATAAGCATCTTAGCAAGAGGATGCTATCGTGAACGATTGAATTTTATTATATTTTTCAACACAAAACAAATCCACTGGCGCAAATAAAACCAATGAACACTCTTGTTGAACCGGGAAAATCAACAATTTAACCTGAAATCGAACACAACAGGGAAAACCCGAGAAATAACCGGGAATTTGAAACCTTAATATATATTTTAAATATACAAAACATAAGTCTGGGTTCTAAAAAATATGGCAAAGCTCTAGAGTTTTGAAAATTTGTCATTTGTTTTACCAATTTTGGTGACAACAAATAAGCAGTTAACGACACATTATTTTATTTTATTTTTTTAATCTTTATCAGCAAGATTTTTAGCCAAAGGCTAGTTCATCTTGGTCAAGAGAAAGATGCCCCCAGAAGGGGTACCATAACAGAGTATTTTTACATTACAGACTTTCATCTTGACGGTAAATCAATTCCTAGAGCAGTGCAGAGTGGAAAAACATTGTAAACACACGTATTTAAATACTGAGTACTGTATAGGTTCGCGTAGAGAGGGTCTAGTATTAGAGAGGAGCGGATTCAAAACAAACTGCCTTGGCAACCTATGCCTAGGTGAATTCTAGCAACACTGACAATGCAATCAAGAAACGCGCTGCTCGATTGGCTCTTGCTTTGATAGTTCGTTTGGCTCAAAACCAGCCAGCTCGCTCCTTTCTTATACTAGACTCTCTCTAGGTTCACGTCCTTCAGAAAGCCCAATGCCGGTGCCTGGGTGGTCGGCTCATCCTCTAGCACGTCCCGTATGCTGGCTGGCAGTCCGTAGAGGCCACGAAGGAGCTCGTACTTCGGGCAGACACACAGCACATGTTTCTCCGTAGAATTGTGCAGACGTCGCAAGTCTGCCGGAATGGTGCAGTGAGCGCCCCGAGTCTCGACAAGATTATTTGGTCACACAGCTTCTTTAAGAGCTTACTTTGACCTTGCTGATGAAAAGTTATCTGGTACGGGACTATTACGTCTTCCATGCTTTCCGTATGGTGTTCCTTAGCCATTTCCTGACGTCCTATAGTGGAATACTATCCGTATATCTGCGACCAGAGGGGCCGTCCCCGGCTCAGTGACCCACCCTGGGATCCCGCTGTGGCCAGGAATCCATGAGTAGGTTGTATTTCGAGGAGCCTGTTTAACAATGTCCTGGATCCAGGAGTTGATCTGGACATCCGATGAGAGGGCTTGAATTGCACTGTGGGAATCCAAGAGAATGAGGATTGGTCGATCCGCGGATGCTGCAATCGCCTAGAAAATGGAGGCTGCTTCGGCTGAAAAAACATTGCGAGGGTAGACTTAAACACCAGAGCGAGTACCTGCAGAACTTTATCTGTATCTATATTGGTTAGTTCCAGCCCATATATGAGACGGCTATCACCGATGGCTCGGGCAACCCGAAAGCGAACGTCAGTAATGGCAATAATCGAGTCTTGGGGAACTCCAGTTTTCTCTCGGAAAGGGCGAGAAATTATGTTCCCCACCGAGACTCGGAGCGAACGGTCCACCAAGAAGTTCATCACAAAGTTGCTACGCAGGCCCCAGCTTTCGAGTTGCTTTAGGATTGCTTTCGAGATGTCTCATGAGACTATCTCCGTATGGAGGTCGTTGTCTTTGGCATCTCCGATTTCAAGGACCTCCTTCAGCCGGCGGTTCACGATCCGCTCAAGCACTTTGGCCATGCAGCCAGTAAGCGCGTTTGGCCGGAATTTTGTGATGTCCCGTGTCGGTTCATTCGCGTTGGGAATTTGAACCATTAAACTCGCCCTACAAATCGGTGGGGTACGTATCGGTTTGCCAGAGCTGGTTAGAGCTGTCCAGCTGTCTCAACTTACCAAGAACAGGCAGGTTTTTAATTACCGGATATCCAATTGCATCCGGGCCAGAAGATTTCCCATTGCAGCAGCTAAGTGCATGTAAAGGGTGTCACATTGGGTATTTTCTCTTGAAATTTTGGGTGGAAGTAGTTTAGAGTGTATTGTTTACACTGTATTTTTATCGCTGTCAGTTTTTTGAAAGTTGGATAAAATGGCGTCACCCGAAAAGCAACGTCTTGCAACGAATTTATTTTGCGCAAGCACCTGGAAAATCTTCAATTCTCTTATCGGGACATCGGAAAACAACTCGGAATCGTGCAGTCAACGGTGAGTCGTATGATTAAACGTTACTACGAAACTCTGAGCATCGAACGGAAGGAGAAATGCGGTCAGAATGGATGCTCTATTAGCTCTGTACACCCAGATCATCTGGGCCAACTCCAGTGGGCCAGATGCTGACGAAGCATTATTCGGGGCTACTGTTCTTCATCGTAAAGGCACGGTATTACCATAGAGGTAACTCTAAGACCACTGGGTCCCGAAGAAAATCATTATTATTTTTGGCTCACTCAGTACCAGAACAACGGTCCCAAGCAGTCCCAAGCTATTTCACTCACCCCTGCATGTTCTGCATGAATCCACACACCCTTGATGTTATCTGTCAAACTTTCATAGCGAATCAAAACAAACATAGTGTAGTAATAGCATTTCAACTAGAATAGGGTACGTTAATCGTTTGCTTGGGACCAATAGGCTACTAAAGTGGTGAGCCAATTTAAAATCGTTAGTTTCGTATTGATTGTTGGTATTACCAACAATCAATACGAAACTAACGATTTTAAATTGGCTCACTACTTGACTAGCCTATTGGTCCCAAGCAAACGATTAACGTATCCCATTCTAGTCGAAATTCTAGTACTACGCAATGTTTGTTTTGATTCGCTATGAAAGTTTGACAGATAAAATGAGGGGTTATTGTTTTTCAGGCTAACTTCAGCTTACTCACCGGGTGAGTCGATCGTACTCACTTTCGTCCGTTGTATCAAGTTGTCAAAAACTGAGTAAACGAGAAATGTCAAACTGAGTAAAAGCCACTCAGCAAAATCCTGGACTTAGAAAAAATCTCCTAGAAAACGGACGAATGTTTCACTCAAAACCGGTGGAAATTCCTTCAGGTAAGTAGGCATTGCTTAGGGCAATGGTTTTGAAACATTTTCTGCTCCGGTCGAATGAATCCGGAGCGGACGATTTCCATTTCCTTTCATAAAATCAAAACAAAAACCCCCCGCAACTGAAAATATCGCTGAGTGGATTTTAATCAGTCTACGTGAGAACGTCGTTTACTCAAAAGTGAGTCAACATAAGGCTACTCAATTTTGAGTAGCCCTACTTGCCGCTGAGATGAGTACATTTGACTCAATTTTGAGTTGACCAGAATAAGCGTGTTTCTTATACTTCGAGGGGTGAATCGATTAGCTTGGGACCGAAGAGAGTACCAGAGCTGAGCCAAAAAGTTGAGCACGCTATTTCGGGACCTTCTAGTCTTAGAGTTATCTCTATGGTATTACCAAGCCGGAGGCGGCGGGTTCGATTCCCGGTCCGGTCGAGGGAATCTTTCTTGTTGGAAATTTTCTCGACTTCCCTGGGCATAGAGTATCATCAACAATCAATACGAAACTAACGATTTTAAATTGGCTCACCACTTTAGTAGCCTATTGGTCCCAAGCAAACGATTAACGTACCCTATTCTAGTTGAAATTCTATTACTACACTATGTTTGTTTTGATTCGCTATGAAAGTTTGACAGATAACATCAGGGGTGTGTGGATTCATGCAGAACATGCAGGGGTGAGTGAAATAGCTTGGGACTGCTTGGGACCGTTGTTCTGGTACTGAGTGAGCCAAAAATAATAATGATTTTCTTCGGGACCCAGTGGCCTTAGAGTTACCTCTATGGTATCATTGTGCTTGCCACACAATATACAAATTTATTCATTGGTATTGGCATCGAAAGCTCTCAATTAATAACTGTGGAAGTGCATTTAGAACACTAAGTTGAGAGCACGCAATAAGCTAATATGCGCTAAGCAATAAGCTTGAAATGCGAATAAGAAGAAAAAGAAGTTCTTCACCGCCCAGCACAAGTTTGTTGTTTCGGAAGAAGTCAGGAAGCAGAAACTTTCAAACTTGGCCAAGAAATACATGATTTGGCAAGCGCTCACATGAGCAGATAAACGGAGTGCGCCGTTCGTGACTACAGGGACTATAAACGGGGAGATCTACTTCAAGGAGTGTCTACAGAAGCGTCTGCTTCCTCTGTTGAAGCAACACGAAGGCCTCGTGCCACTATTCCAATGTTGTCCTGGAGTGGTACGAAGCCAACGGGTCACTGTGGTTCAGTCTCGCGCTCGAATGCCGTTTGCCGTCTAGGGCGTTGACCCGGTTCCATAGATCTGATGAAGACTGTGACGAGTTCATGCTATATAGGAAATCCATCAAGCTGTTCTGTTTCGCATCCCGGATTTCTTTCCGGTACTGCGATTCGCGGTAACGAAAGATAGCGTTCTCTCGGTCGGGATGTCCGACGAGTAGCCGTTCAAGCCTTCGGGGAGCTTTGCATTGGGTCATAACAGCCTTTTTGGTGTCCTCATTCCACAACAGAGGGCTTTACACTCCGGAACACTGCTGGTCTTCGGAATGGATGCAACCGCTACGTCGAAAACAACCTGTGTGACCTCCTGAATGCTACCGGGATTCCGTTGTTCGATGAGGGATCGTATGTTTTCGTCGTAGCTTACCCAGTTCGCTTCTTCGTACCGCCATCGAAGCCTTCGTGTAACTGACGAAGCTGCAGAGTCAGAGAGCTGAACCTGTACGGGATAGTGGTCACATAGTTTGCACTCCATTGTATTTTCCTGGAAATGGAGCGACTGGCTCATGGGCGCTCCGTCGTCGAGAATGACCATGTCTTCTCTTTGGAAAATATCAGCTGATGGGATCTGGGTGGGGACTTCCTCAAATAGGGTGATACCCGTTCAGATCTCCGACGAAAAGGCGTGGTTCGGGTAACTTACCCAAGGTGCTGCAAACTTGATCATCCAGATTTGGTATTCTCCCATATTGATAATTTAATACACAACTGGAGAGGTGGCACTCGGAATCAATTTTGTGTCGGGTCAACTCTCAGCTTGATTTTTGCACGTTGTGAATAGTCTCGCAATATCAAAGAAGCTTGTAAAATCAATATCAAGCATGATATTTTGCTCCAATATCACGCGTGATATAAAGAGCCTATGAGAGCGGAAAAATATCATTTGATTGATGATTTTGCCAACACTGGACAAACTAAATGTATTTCATAGAAGTAAAAAATAAGAAACCTCAGAAAAGCTTTAGAAATTTTATAGAAGATCTGGGAATCTCAGAGCAGCTCAGGGACCCTCTGAAAATTTCAGAGAACTTCAAAGATGAAAAATGAAAAGAATCTCACAGAGGAAGTTCAAGGAATCTCAAGAATGTACTGAGATCTGTGGAAATGTTCAAGAAATGGCCTACCGTAAGAAACGTTTAGAAACGTAACTTGGAGAGTTTTCTGATACTTCTCTATGATGTTGTCTAAAATTATGTATAAAATTCACCCTGAGTTTGCAAATCTTCGGAATAATGGAATAATCTCATACGTTTAGAATGACTTTCTTGCACTCAAAGGCTGTGTTTCATTTAATGAATTTTCACTTAAATTTGACACTTATAAATTAAAATCTCCGAACATCCCTCTGCTGTTGATCGTCCAATTTTTGAGAAGGTGTATGTCTAAATTTTCTGCCAGAAATAAGTCTGCTAACATAGAAGGTTGATTTGAAAATTTTACATCTGTCAAATTAAGTGAAAATTCACCAAACGGAATGCGGATTGCCGTTTCAGTGAAAATAATTCGACGCATCTGACAGCCACAGCATGCTATTAAAGCTGACAATTTGACGCCAAATGCCAAGTTTTCTCTTAATTCGCAATATTTTTAACCATTAAGCAATTGGGTTGTTCAGGGGTATTGAGGTAAACACATATTCGTTAAGTGCATTAAAAATGAAACCGAAGTACAAAATTTCATCAATTTTAGTACACTGGAACTATTTTAAATAAGTACGATTACATTAGCAAAAATCGCCATCTTTGCGCCCTTTGGTGGGACTTTTTATGGGAGCGAGCTGTCAACAAATAGATTTAGTGTCAACGATCAAAAATTTAAATCTTGATCTAAAAATCGAGATGAATGTCTACGGGATCGATAAAAATATCGTTATTCTCAGAAAACGAAGCTCTATCAGATGATGTATAAAAATCGGTATATTTTTCGAAGTTAAACAACCCAATTGAATCAAAAATTGCTAGCGCGAAGTCCAAATAGTGCAATTGAATGAGAATAACTCAGTGACTGAGTCGAATTCGTCTAAAAATAGCGTAAAGTTTTCCTCGTTTTTCCAGGAAAAACTACTTGAATATGAGGAAAATCAACAAAAAGTTTACTCAGTCTTGGAGTATACTAATAGGCTGACTGGAATATCTATCGATTTTCCTCATATTCAAGATAAGAGCAGTTCCACGCCAAATAACGAATCGGAAAAACGCGACCTTCTTCGATTTGCATGAAACTTTGCATAATTGTTTGTTATGGACAATAATTTGGCCAATTTGAATCTAGTTACATTTTCAAAATAGAGCTACAAACTTTTCAAAAAAGCATTATTCCACAGCCGCAGACAGTATACGAGCAAGTCAAGGGCGCACTTTTTTTGGTGCAAAGCCTACTTCAAATCTCCTTGTACATCGTACGCGTTAGGCAAAGAAGTGTGCGTTTGACTTGTACTGTCGCATTAATGCATTGTAACAATTAGCGTTTAAGTAAAATTGTAAAACGGTCTACACTGATTAACGGCAAATATATAAAAAAAACAGAATTTATCCACCTATGGTGTGATCAGACCCTTCTTACTTATTCAAGTTTATTTATTTTATTGTCATTATCAGTGGCCAAGCCCCCCACCCCCGTGTCATCCAGTGACGCTACGCCACTGCCTGGGGGTACCCGGAATATATCCGGGTGTAGTCTATTTGATGAGGCTACCAATCACCTTATCATCGTATTTTAATGTGATTTAATGGGTTTTAATTCAATTCATATTCAAGCAACTTCCCTGGGGTACCCGGAACATGTCCAAGTGTGTCCAATGCGGTCTGGAACACTTAACACGACTTGCATTGATCTTATTTTTGAATTCTGTAGTAATTTGATGTGTCGCATGATGGTTTTGATACGTTTTCCGTTAAATCCAGCGTGAAGGCCCATATTCACCGGATTTTATTCCGGCCATATCTCCGGAACCGGTTCACCGATTCCAAAACCGTTCAATAGCGTTCAATGGGACCCCAAGACCTATCATTTGGCGCCGAGTTTGTCCAAATCGGTTGAGCGGTTGCTGAGAAACGTGAGCGCATTCATTTCGTTACATACACACACACATACACACATACACACGTACACACACACACACACACACACACACACACACACACACACACACACACACACACACACACACACACACACACACACACACACACACACACACACACACACATGTTCCGATCTCGTCGAGCTGAGTCGAATGGTATATGACACTCTGCCCTCCGGGCCTCGGATCGATAGTCGGTTTTTCAAGTGATATCTTTGTAAGAAGGGTAAAACTTTCAACTTCTATTCAATTTTCATACTGCCGTACTCTAACGGAACTAGGTATCTACCTACCTTCTTCCAAGACCCTTCTATAGCTAATAAATTATCACTCTAAAGCTTCATGTTAGATAGCATTTCCAACCAGTTCTGGATTAAGCAAAGTTTCATGCAAATCGGATAACTGGAACTGCTCATAATGCAAAAGCAGTTTCATGCGCGAGGTAGCAAAATTGTCCGAGAATTGTGCTATCAAAAATTTAAATGGGTAGTACAAGTCACCAACCAAGATGACCATTTTAAACTCAGTAACGTATCACCTTAACGAAGCCCTATATTATTCTTTAGGATTAGGGCTATGCTTATACTCTTCCGCTCACAAACTGTGAGTCCTAGTTGGAAGGTTTTTATGGGGACCACTACTTTTCATTAGAAGGCAAAATTCAATTCATTACATTCGCGAGTGAGCCTGGTGCAAATGCATTCAAGTACTAACCCGGTCCTATTCTTCGTCTCCCGTTTTCCAGGTATTTAGTCCATTGGATAACATCCTGTACGTGAACCTGCCGTCGACCATGACGCACGAGGCATCGAAGCACTCGTTTATCTCGCTGCTGGAGTTTGCCGAGGAGAAACTCGAGTGCGATGGCGTTGTCCTGTGCATTCGAAAGGACCGCCTCGATCGCCCGAATTTAGTGCGTACCTTCTCGTTTGTCGGTTTCCAACCAATCAGCCCAAAAACACCGCTGGCCCCGCCGCACATTGAAGAGCAACAGAAGAACGAATATCTCTTCATGATCTACAGCATCGAGGAGTAAACCAGCATAGCGCGTCAGCACAGCTCAGACCAAGCCAGGTGGGTGCGTTTTGATCAAAATTAAATCTTCCCGATAGCCGCCCTTCGAACAATATTCTCCATCCCATTCAACGAGGGACTATTCATAACATCGAACCGTACGAAGTAAGAACCTATTGAGCTGCTGAGCTTCGATTGGTGGCAGGTCGTCGCATACCAAATCAGTGCGCTTGGTGGGTCCGTTTTGATCAAAACGCATTGCAACCGGAATGCATGAACAACATTGCAGTTAAAAACAAAAACAAAAGCAAAAGCAAAACATACATCCGTAAAGTTAAAGAAACAGAAAACATCTCTCTTTGCGAAAGATTACAATACCAGCATAAAAGTGAACTAACAATATAAGCTAATCTATAAGTGCATACATAATCCCAATATTTCCGAGGTCGAACTCTTGCGATTTGTATTTGTTTTAAGTGACATGCTTCTATCATTAAATAAAAATGAGAAAAATACAAAAAAAAACTTAAAAATTTACAAAAAACAAACAAAAAAAAAAACAAAAAAGTAGAAAATCTTTTGATAAAAAATTTAAAGTTTTTTACATAAAAGACCCAAAAAAATGTACAAAAATATTAAACAAGTATCAATAGGATCAATGCATCAAGAAATCATAAATACCTTATCGAAAGCAACAAACATTATTACAAATTCATTGAATAGACTTTAGTTAAGCTGTAAACAAACAAAATGAAGATCAAATAAAGGGATGAAATCGAAGCTTTCTCATCAACTGAATAATTCCTTCGCTAACGAGTGAGTTTTTGCTATTACGGTTTCTGAGAACATTTAGTATGCATCCAACGAAAACAACAGCAACAACAAAAATCGGAGAGTGCTAAGAACTAAGACTTGAATTCTACGAAGGAAAATTTCATGCGAAATGGAAAGTTTTACAAATCACACCCAAACGAAATAGAGCCGTCAAAACAGCATATTGTACTACACACAATCTACTACTTGTACTTATTTTTTTTATGTTTTTACGTAGACACTAATTTCAACGAAAAAAAGGGCAGCAGCAGAAGGAATGGAATAATTATTATGAAGAAATATCTGCGCCCGATGGTATTGTAATTGGACGCAGTTGTTTAGTTCTACTAAACAACTGTCCTGCCGACTGGTCGTCGGAAAAGCTGAGAGGTTTTCGTTTTGAGAATTCGAACAAAACATTGGATTACTCTCCCCATCATTATGAACATTAGAAAAGAATTGAAAAACACTCATTTTTTATTTAACATTTTTAACTTTTTATGGGAATAAATGTTTTAGTAAAAGGACAGATATAATTTTCTGCGATACAATTTTTCGCTTTTTTAATTTTATATTTTTTTAAATATATACTTTGTTACTACTATTAGTAGGAAGTAAAACACATAAACCTACAATTATATTATTTTATTGCGCATAGATACCTCTTTGGATTTCGCTAAGGCCAAGGCACAGCGCAAGGTGCCGAGGTTTCAGCAAAAGCCAGGGAAATATTGACTAATAACGTAGTATAATAACAATGAATGTGCATACTTTTTCGTATTTTATTATTACCTTTTATCAGTGTTTATCAAAATTGCTAGTATGAATTGAAAGTGAATAAAAAAAACTTCTATTTTTAAGTTTCTTAAACGGGACACTTATAGTAATTGTATATATCTCTTAATCCGAAATCAACCCTTATTGTAATCAAAAGCAATTTTTTCGTTATTGATTACTTTATTTTTTTTCAGTGCTGGCGGAAATCTTAAAAATCGCTTACGAAAAAACTGTGTGAAAGAGATATTTCAACAACTTCATCTGAATAAGATGCATCAATCTATCTCATCTCAAATATCCTGAGCACCCGGTGGTGAATAGAGCCCAACATCCTGGGTGGCTGCTTGGTTTCACCATAACCTAGGTGAACTTCTAGTCCATTGATTTTGTTGTTGAAGCTACGTCTTTCCTGGCTCTGCCTATGCTGCCTGCCGGGTTCCAATCCAGCTCTTGCTTGCAGATTTCATTTCCCCTCTATAGCACTGGTGGCCGACCCATTTCCACTTACGATCCCGAATTTCTTTTGGTATCTGTTTCTGATGACATTAACGATGGAACGTAGCAGAGGCGTCACGTGCCTCATTTGTTTACCTGTGCACCTAGCTTTATTCGTTATAATTTTCCACCACATATTAGTTTTTGTTTTATTTTTCAATGCTCCATGAATTCAAGGGACATATTCTCCATTACTATATTACCCAAGTAACAATTTTGGTTTTATGAGGTTTCTGTAGACTACGATTTAAGTTTGTAGAATGCTATAAAACCTCTTTAAAGCTTGCAATTTTACTTGGGTAATCACTACCTAACGTAACATTTGAAGGGCCTATCATCTTGTATAAACAAAACTTGTATGGCCCTTTTCGCGCTAACCGAAGTAATATTGATCGATTCTCTTCGTCGACTTTCTATTTCGTTAATAACTTGAGCACATAACCATTTCTTGTTGTGTTTGTCGTATTAGACGCTAGATAAAAGCTTCTTTTATCGATCGGTGTGCTGAAAATACCTGGGAATGTCTTTACATGGCCGTGGAGATACAAAGAGAAAGTCGACGGAGATAATCTGTCAATGTTACTTAGGACCTAATGCAATGTTCAGCTTGAATTCTCGTTTTTATCACAAGGCTAATACCCCAGACAGACTATGGCTTATATCATGTAATATAGGCTGTCTTGCAATGAGCACTCATACATCTAGTTTTCACTGGAAATCCTATATATGAGTGCTCATTGCAAGACAGCCTATATTACATGATATAAGCCATAGTCTGTACGGGGTATAACCAACAATCAATACGAAACTAACGATTTTAAATTGGCTCACCACTTTAGTAGCCTATTGGTCCCAAGCAAACGATTAACGTACCCTATTCTAGTTGAAATTCTATTACTACACTATGTTTGTTTTGATTCGCTATGAAAGTTTGACAGCCCAAGTAACATTTTAAGTTTTATGAAATACTACAAAGCAACTATAAAACAACATTCATAAAACCCTGGTCAATGCTATTTTATCATTAATGCATCCACCAAAACCTCATTAAGACTAGAATATGTCTAGTTGGCCCACCCTGGAGAAGGTTATGAAGGTTGTATTCTCGAAGCTCTTCAAGATTGATTTACTTCAAAACGCTGTATGGCGAACGCATTGAGAACCATTTGAAAGCTACAATAAAAGCTATTTAGCAACAATAAAAACCCTTTCCGAGCCATTTCCCCTAGCCGCATGCTGAATCCACTAGGAATACATCAATCAAGATAGAAAAGGATTTATGAATCCGATCTTATCAAAATAATTAAAATAGAAAATGATGGTATAAAAATCTTGTTGAATATCCAAATTTATTTTATTAGTTCTCATTAAGTGGCCTAGTTTTAAGTGCCATATTGAATTTTATGTGAAATGTACGTGAAAACATCGAAAAAATTTAGTCCACCCTCGTAAAACGTCGATTTGACCAATTAATTAACATTGAATAAATTTTTTTTTCTTCAGATCGAGCTTGGCCGAGATTTTTTTTTAATTATTTTCGCATTTAAATGTTTGCTCATTGCTAAATTTACCAAAATATAGTTATATCTTAGGAAATATTGATTGAAAATCGAAGATTGTAAAAAACAAGCAATCTAATTGTAACATGGCGGTGGCATAAAAGTTGATTTTCATGGGTCATTTGTGAAAAAGTTGTTTTGCTTTCACAAATTCCCTAACAAATTAATAAGGTTTTAAATTGGATTTTATGAAGAAAACTTGCAGGCTGAATTGTATTTATCTAAAGCCATTTTGCTTGATCCTAACCCGTTCAGATTTATGGCTGTATTTATGGAGGCAAAGTTGCCTGCAAAAAGTTAAACGTCAAAGTTTGTTTATCTTTCGATAGTTGCGCTGTGAGATCCAAGATTCTTCCAGACGGGTTTCTCCCGATGGATTGGGAGCAGTTACTCAGATAGTTTACGATACTGTTTTACAACATTTCGCATTTTGAACAGCTGGAAGCGCCATCGTTCCCGAAAAAGATCCCCTTCTTCCAGAGGTTACAGAAGTGCACCATCCAATGATGCAGAGATGTACGGTTGAATGAAATTTTCGAAGAGTCTTTCGCCGAATAAAATCGCTGCTTTGGAACGGAAACCAGCTGATCTCCGCTAACTAACAGTTTCAGTGGTTTGCTGTCGGTTGTTATTCCGATTGTCATCGCAAGATCTGGAGAAGGCTGGTATGTTTTTCAACTTTAGACAATGTTTCATGAGTTCGAGGGCCCCGCTCACTTTACTCTTCTCAGTCGTTGGTGGTGGTGTCATCCTACTTCGTCTATCGAAGGATTTCCTTGTCATAAATTTGGCATTTATTAACTATGAGGAACCATATTTTCAGCTCAATTTGTAAACAAAGTAATTGGGGAGTTAATGATGCTTTTTAAAAAGGCTAAAAAGCAACAATAAATGCTTTTTTCTCTAATGCAAAACCTAATTGTTTTATGGTTGCTTTTATAATGATTGAACACATTTATAAAGTATTTTATCATGACATTAATAAAAAATTTGCTAATGACGTTTATGCTTGAATTACAGAACAGTTTTAAGGAGGGATTGATAACTGTTTTAAATTTATTTTTAAAACAAGACAGTTTTTGACTTTGTTGCCAGACTATAAAAGGTTTTTAAAACAGCAAAAAGCTGAATTACTAAGCAGGAATGTTTTACACTTAAAAATGCTATATTTAAACTAAATGGATTGTTCATTGCCGTTATAAAACCATCATAAATCAAAGTGGATGCTAAATGGTTACTGAATTGTTACTTGGGAGATAACATCAGGGGTGTGTGGATTCATGCAGAACATGCAGGGGTGGGTGAAATAGCTTGGGACTGCTTGGGACCGTTGTTCTGGTACTGAGTGAGCCAAAAATAATAATGATTTTCTTCGGGACCCAGTGGTCTTAGAGTTACCTCTATGGTATAACCATAGAGGTAACTCTAAGACAAGTAGGTCCCAAAGAAACGTGCTCAACTTTTTGGCTCACCTCTGGTACTATCTTCGGTCCCAAGCTTGTCGAATCACCCCTCGAAACATAGGAAAAACCAATAACCCCTCATTTTATCTGTCAAACTTTCATAGCGAATCAAAACAAACATTGCGTAGTACTAGAATTTCGACTAGAATAGGGTACGTTAATCGTTTGCTTGGGACCAATAGGCTACTAAAGTGGTGAGCCAATTTAAAATCGTTAGTTTCGTATTGATTGTTGGTATAACTCTTTTGACTGAAGTGTAATAAAGAATATCCGTCAAACAGTTCCGAAAACATTTTTTGATACAAAACAGTGTCAAAATCTAGAGAAAATTCACAGTTCCACCAACAATCAATACGAAACTAACGATTTTAAATTGGCTCACTACTTGACTAGCCTATTGGTCCCAAGCAAACGATTAAAGTACCCTATTCTAGTCGAAATTCTAGTACTACGCAATGTTTGTTTTGATTCGCTATGAAAGTTTGACAGATAAAATGAGGGGTTAGGGGATTTTCCTATGTTTCGAGGGGTGAATCGATTAGCTTGGGACCGAAGAGAGTATCAGAGATGAGCCAAAAAATTGAGCACGTTATTTCGGGACCTTCCAGTCTTAGAGTTACCTCTATGGTCCCACGGGTAGCAAACTTGAATTAATCAACTCTTTATTCATCAGAACAACACTATAGAATAAACCAGGGGAAGCTCATAAGTTTTGACAGGCGCACCGGCGCAACTATCGGTAATTGAGAGATTCACAACTGACAAGAGTGTGAGAGCGGCTTTTGCGCTCTCTTTCTCCATTACTCTCTTTGTTTGCAATCAGATATTCAAGTGCACAGCGAGAAATGCACACTTTGGGCACCCATACATCACAAATGTTCTTCTAATTTTAACTCACACATTGAAACCGGTCTGCAAGTATGATAACGTCCAAAGCGTACCAGACTGCTGTTTCTGTGTTGCTCCCGTTTTACGCGTAACTGCTGAAAGCTTCAATTACAACCAGTGGTGCAAATCGCCATGTATTGTTTAAAATTTGTGGTATGTTTCAAAAGGTGATAGAAAGTCTGCTTGGCTTACCATCAGGCATTTGACCATTCACAAACTTGTCACCCGCCACCCAAAAAAGCTCGCTTTTAGGTGAACTATTTAACGAGTTTTGTCATGGTAGTGTTATCGACATGCTTAGAAATCAATGCATTAGGGATTAGGCAGACCATCCGAACTCAATTCATGAAGCAAACCAAGGTCGAAGATTTAATTGAACCACACTATAAAATAGTGTATTCATGGTCACTTGTGGTCTGGAGTAAAGAAGTACAGCTATAATGTGACCATTCAAATCTAAAAATCTAAACGCATTTTTTTAAATTATTTACACCTGTGTCGTGCACAGGTTGCACATGTGGACGCGACGCCACTGGAACGTAGCATTCGAGATCAAGTGGTGACGCCACCCCGCACGAACTGTTGGCCAGATATACCTACACTGATATCGGTTGTCAGCTAACATCACTTTACAATGTACGTGAAAAGTTTTCTTCACAAAATATCACGAAAAATACCAAAACTACAGGGTGT